ACACACACACACACACACACACACACACACACACAATAAATAAATGTTAAAAAAAAATAAACACTCAAAGTTAAGTTTAAAAATATTTGATGTACTAGTGTTTGTAATAATAAACCCTCGTCACTGTGGTGCCTTACATCCTCTTTGCTGATGCAGGACTCTCGTTGGGGAGATAGAGATTCAGAAGGCACATGGAGAAAAGGACCCGAGGCTGACTCTGAGTGGAGGAGAGGCCCGCCAGAGAAGTAAGTGGAGTTGTGAAAATGCACAGTACTCCAGTCATGGATTTTGGTAATAGTGTATCCGTGATTTTCATAAATCTGATCAATGAAGAAGGGAGAGCCACGAATAATTATCTACATGTCTTTAACTGTTACTGGACCTAACTGCTTCCTGCCCTCCTTTTTTGTTACCTAACCTAACAGTGTAGGTGGTAAGAATGAATAGTTCCCTAACATTTTTCTTCTAGATTTGTTAAGTAGGTTGAACCATTCTTTAAAATAAGAACTATAGGCAGGCAAGAATGCAGGCTTTAGTTTGATGCAGAAAATTGGGTTTAGGCAAATTGTTGTTAAAGATTTAGCAGTTGCCAGCATGTTATTTAGAAATTATGACTTGCTTGTAGTTAAGCTTTTACTGTTTTGGTCTGTGTGTTGGTGTAAGATACTGGTTCTTTAATTTAATAAACATTCTTTTAAGGACCAGAATTGATGAGTTTAGACTGGTGATATTTTTTTTTTCTTCCTTCTCTTCAGTGAGTGAAGTAAACAATTCCCAAAGTATCAGTGCTTTCTGGAGAAAAAAAAAACCAACTATTAAAGCATGTGTGGCTTGTTGCTCTGTAGGGAGTGGCGACGCGGAGAAGGACGGGATGAGGAGAGGCCCCATAGAAGAGATGAAGATCGCCCTCGTCGCCTGGGCGATGATGATGAGAGGGAAGCTTCCCATCGGCCTGATGAAGACCGGGCACCCAGGCGTGGGCCTGAAGAAGACCGCTTCCCTCGCCGTGGAATGGAAGATGACCGTCCTTGGCGTAATGCGGAGGATGACAGGCCTCCCAGGCGTGTGGGTGATGATGACAGGGCAAGTTGGCGCCACACAGATGATGACAGACCACCTAGACGAGGACTGGATGATGACAGAGGAAGCTGGCGGACAGCAGATGAGGACAGAGGACCGAGACGCGGGATGGAGGAGGACCGGGTGCCGAGGCGGGGAGGTGCTGATGACGAGCGGTCATCCTGGCGGAGTGCTGATGAGGACCGGGGTCCTAGGCGGGGCCTGGACGAGGACCGGGGACCGTGGAGGAATGCGGATGATGATAGGGTCTCTAGGCGTGGTGCAGATGACGACAGGGGCTCTTGGAGAAACGTGGATGATGATCGGCTCTCTAGACCTGGTCCCTGGAGACCATATGTTAAGCCAGGTAGCATTCTCATATTTAGTTTAGATGCTTTTGTGGAATGGGTTTGATGTTTTTATATGTATGAAAATGAGATTTTAATGGATAGTGACAGATTGGGGTGTCTGGTAATTTTCAATTCAAGTGGGTCTTAGGCAGTGACTGCTGTGCCACACTCCAGTGTAATCAACCTTCCCTGTCACAATGATACTAAGATGTTTTCTTTCTGTCCCTTCACTACTGCTTTGGAGACTTTTTGCACCCATCCTTGTGTCCTATCCTGGACCAGCCACCTCTTAAAAGTAACTAAAAATTAAATATGTCCTTATTTATTCACATGCCTGCTGACATACATGGAAGGGCTCATTTTCTTACTTTCTTAATCTGGAGTCTTCTTGTCTTTTGTAGTTTATTAACTTTTTTTTTTTGCTGGGGATTGATACAGTTTATTAACTTTGATAAATTGTGTGTTTGTGGTGCGTTTCTGTTAAGTTTTTGGTTACTGAATACAAATGATGAGTGCAGCTCAATTCCACCTACGTGGAATTGACACTTTACACTAAAGCTTTTGTAAAACTGTATTTACTGCCTTCCCCCAAAACACACACACCCTTTTCTCTTGCGGTACCATTCTGGGAGTTATCCTTTACTCTGGTTTCTCTTTTCTTTTCTTTCTTTTTTGTATTTTAGGGAAGGGTCTACAGGGTGTTCAGGGTCTCACTACTTGATTGGACTCGTAGTGATCTGCCTGTTTACAGCCTCCCAAGAGCTGGGGTTACAGGTGCATGCCACCATGCCCAGTCTCAATTGCCGTCTCAGTGCGCCCCAGGAGTGCGGCCAGCGTGGTAGGCCCTGGGGATCAAATCCCCGGCCCTTTGTGCCTGCTGCTGCTTTGTATATGAAATCTTTTACTTTTCTCCCATTTTAATTGGTGTTCCTTAAAATCTACCCACTTCTGCATTGACCCTGCTTGAACTTACGCTGTTACCACTATTTCTTTTGAGTGTTTTTTTTTTTGGGGGGGGGGGCGCTCTTTTTGAGACATTCTCACAATGCAGTTCAGGCTGGCCCTGAACTTATAATGATCCTCCTGCTTCAGCCCTCCCAAGTGCTAGGATTACAGCCATGAGCCACCACACCCAGCTTTTTTTTTTTTAGATTTTGGTTCTATCTTTTCAGTGGTGTCTGCTGCTGATTCTCCCACTCCCCATTTTCATTACATTATAAAAATCTATTTTAAGCTTACAGCTTTCTTTCTTAGTGGCTTCCCTTTGTACCACTGCCTTACTCTAATTTTGTGTCATTCCACTGTCAGCTCTGATCTGGAGTAAGAGACTTAGTTTCTCTGTGTCTCATGTAAAATAAGGTTAACAGAACCATGGTGTCTCTTTAAGTTCTAGAAAGTTGTCATGAGTAATGAATCCTAGAAGAAATATATATAAAGATGGGTTCCTTAGGTTACAAAATTTTCTGATTCATTAACATTGCTAATAGACTGGGGAGATGGCTCAGTAGAATAAGCGCTTGCCGCAAGGGCCTGAGTTCAATACCTGGTTCAGCCCCCACCAAAAAAGCTAATAGTGCTAGAACTCAAGCTTGAACAAAGTTTGTCTAACACGTGTATTTCCTTCTTAAGATACATGGTAAAGTGCTTGATACTGCATAGCATGTATGCTGAGTATTTTTTTTTAAGCAGTGAAGTCCCCAGCAAAAAATAAATTGAAAATTATGGAATCAATAGGTCTTTAAACAGACATTTGTTTGTAGGAAGAGAGCTGAAACTAAGAAGGCTGCCAACTGACTGGTATTACATACCAGTGACTTGTTTGTTGATTTGGTCTGCTGCTGTTATGCTATTCATGTAAAAGTGCCATGAGTGTTTTGAGCTTACAGAGTTTAGCAAGTATAAAATCTAACAATATTGATGGTTAATTCACATTTATAGATAGGATGAAATGAGTCAGGGCAAAGGACTTGCTTTGGCACATGGTACAATATCAGAAAAATAGCTTAGTTTTTTAACCATAATATGCTTTCACTGAAATCTTGGGTTTCTGTGTGAGATATGGGCAGGACCAGAGCATTTTAGCCTTATTTTAGGACTAGCTGAAGGGTGATGAGTGGCAGGTGACAGAAATAGGAAAGTGATGCTTTTTCTTTGCTTTTTTCAGTGGGGAAGGCTCTGAAAATATTGCAAAGTGTAAACGAATTCAGTGAGACACTCTTGTAATTCCAGATACCAACAGTTTAAAGCTAGCAGATGATAACTTTGAGTAATGCTTAGGCAGGTTAACAAGGCCTGGCGTATGGGGTCCGGAAGATGGCTCAGTGGAATAAGCTCTTCCCTGGCAAGGGCCTGAGTTTGTCCCCGGTTCTGCCAAAAAAAAAAAAAAAAAGGCCCAACCTCAAAGCAAAAGAAAGATTAAAAACAAAACAACTAGGAATCTAGCTCAGTGGTAGAGTGCTTGCCTTGTATACATGAGGCCATGAATTCAATCCCCAATAATGGGGGGGGGGGGGATGACACAAGGACACACCTCTGACCTCTTAACTCTTCGTGCACATTGTGTTTTCTCCGTAAATGAGTATCAGTTTATCATTAGGATAGATTTTATACTCTGCATCTCTGCCTGCAACTAGAAAATTGAGTGCTCTGTACTTGGGCCAGAGAATCTGCCAGTGATGAGTATTCTGTACAGCGGTGTACATGGCTTTAACATTGTTTTAAATGAGTGAAATTGGAGTGTCTTGTTAAAATAGTGATGAATTAACACTAACATTAAGATCTCTTTGATTGCAAATTTATGTCTTGATTGGAACTTCTTTCTTTTTAAAAAATAGGTGGATGGAGAGAGAAGGAAAAAGCCAGAGAAGAGAGCTGGGGTCCACCTCGAGAATCAAGACCATCAGAAGAACGTGACTGGGATAGGGATAAAGAAAGGGATAGAGATGGTCAGGATCGTGAGGAGAATGACAAAGACCCTGACCGAGAACGGGACAGAGAGCGAGATGTGGATCGTGAGGACCGTTTCAGAAGACCCAGGTGAGCATTCTCAGTAGACTAGAGCTTAAGAGAGTTGGAATTTTCTTGATACTTTTCTGTATATTCACATCTTTTTGAGAAATGATACTCTTCAGCTTTTTCTCACATTTGTCATACACTAAAAAATTTTACAGGTTAATTGAACATTTCCTTTTAAGTGCAAAAATGCTTAAATTGTGGCATCCTATAGGTTGTATAACTGGTAATTGAACAGTCTAGGGGTCTTTAAAGATTTTTTTTAAGTGTATTTAGTACAGGGTCTCACTGCACAGTTTCAGTACACAGCTCAGACTCATAGTTACCCTCCTGTTTCTAGCCCCCCCGGCCCCCCCCCCCCCCCCCTCTGGTATTACAGGCATGCACTGCCTCATCCATTCTTCATGGCCTGCGTACCTGGGGTGGGGCTCTCATGGCATGTGGACTGGGAATTGAACCTGGGTCTT